CTCCTCGTTCTGATTCAGACCCAAGCGTCGTTCGGCCATTTGAACTCGAAGATCCGCATCATCAGCCTGTTGTTGGGCCTTTCGATATTTGTTCATCGCGGACTGTGCTGAGGATTCCTATGAGTGATAGTGATAGAATTAATACATGACAAAAGGTAATGAAAAAATGGGAACACATTGAATAAGTTTTTCGAACGAAAAATTAAATTCACTCTATTCCTGCCATTCCTTTTACTTATTCAGGCCGTTCTAAATTTCTAGAACTCCGAGTAGATGTTGATAAGAACAGAATACAAATCATAACAGTAACCATATTTGTGTTGGATTAAAATAACCACACACATGGTTATGAAAATCAATACATCGATTAAAAAGCTCAGCAAAACTGAAGTTCTGTACAATGCTTCAAAGAAGGGCAATAACAAGTAATCCATTTATTCATCAATAAACTTTTAATTAGATCAATTAACACTATAGGAGAGTTGCTTTACTGAGAGCTTACTATGATCATTCTATTTAATCGACCAGATTATACGAGCAAAAAAATCATGTAGATGCCAATGAATAGAATGTTCATCGGTGACCCAACCGAATCACTGTGTGTGTGTGTGTGTGTGTGTGTGTGAAGGAAACCACGTATCTCTCAATATATGATGCACATGCAAGCTATGAAAAGTTACACAGAGAGGTTAAAAACAGAAAAGGTATATCTCGGCTTTCGACCTTCGGTTCCAATGATCATGTAACTGGGAGTAACTTGATGGCTGTGACGTTCTCGTTAACATCTTTTATCCGGCTGGGCTGCTTAAGGGGGATGTGCGTAGAACTGGATTATATACTTTGCTATCCCCTCCGTCAAAAACTGGTGAGATTCTTGTCCACCTAGCATCGTCATGTTTATTCTATACACATTGTGAGAACACCAGAGACTATAAAATGCTTTGCGTTGATGATAAAATCGAACATATTAGTATGACAGAATTTAATTATATGGTGTCTGTTTTATCTGCAATCAATCAACCTCTTTAATAGTGCTTTGTAGGTCATTAGTTCAAATGTTATTTGTGTTTTGTATGGGACGGTTCGTTTCCTGGACCTTTGGCTTTACCCCTTGTAATCATAAGGTCGGTTAAAATTATGGCCAATTATTTTAGAGTACAAGCGATGGTACATAAGGGTGTACACTTACTGCTTCTTCAAGTTGTCTCCTTGTCTGCTTCAATTTTACTTGGGTACGCTCCGTAAGGTCTTTCAACTCGTTGATCATACGGCGTGCATCCTCCTCTGCTTGCATGGATTCTTTCAACGAGCGTTCGCATTTCCTTATAGTTGAATATTTCGTCAAAATAAGAGGGTAAGCGAAAAGAATAACTGATCGTGTTTGTTGATTAATTCTATCGTAAATGTATCAAATTGGAGCCTAGTTTGCGGGAATGATCAGTGGAAAGCGACACAGAGTTAATAGTGAGGACTATAACTTGAATCAACATGACCTCATTTACCTCAAATAAACTGCCCCCAGAATGTGTACCGAATTGCGTGTCATTCGTATGCAGAGCGGTTCTAAAAGGCTTCCTGATAGGGCCTTGTATATCACTTCATCTCAGAATGAATCTATCGTATCTGGTCAGAGTTAACATCTCGCAAAATGGTCTGTGAGCCCCGACTTTAAACAGGCGACTTCTACTTTTTGAAGGCGCGAAATTGATCCGATCTCACCGACATGGAAACCATGGACATCCAAGGGCCCCCTTTGAGGGCTGGTTGAAAAAACAATATATTCTGTGTCTGACCAGGTTCGAACAGCTTACTCATTGCCGTTCTAAACAAGTGTTTTAATATTGGATTTTTCACGTTTTGATCATTATTGACCATCTTCAAAAGTTATTTTCAAATGGTTCATATATATACATATATATCGTTTATCGTCCCTCAGTTAATGGGATCGATTCATTGTTACTGAATGGGCAAAAGTGAGGAACAGATCCACTTGTAATTAAACTTCCAACTTGGGTGTACGCCGAGCAGAGAGAAAGTGTATGTGCCCTATGTGTATGTGTAGGTATGTGCGGATGCGTGGGTCAGGTCAGCACACATTTCAGCATCATCTTACAGTGAGTCACCTGTCACACTAAACACAAACAGTTAATTAGTTCACCCTGTTGGTTCGACGCACTGTCATGTCTACCAAAGGGTCCACTCCTCTCTTGTAGGTAAAATTATCACTCATGTGGGCCGTAGTAGGCGTGACTTTTTATGCTAGTAATTGCTTAGTCAGTTGTTTTCTTCAATCTGGGTGATATTTTCAATGAACTTGAAAAAGTGCTCGGCTGTCTACCCGTATTCAAATTTGCGTCAAACGTGAAAAGGTGATTGTATCGCTCACCATCATCGAACAACAATAAAAACTGCAATAATAATAACAACCGCTTCCTCTAAGGACTTGGAGAAACTGTTCTTCGCTGGTAGCTTCCTGGGCTCTATCCTGTTCCGTGAAGTTGTCCATCTCTTGGTACTTCGCCTACCGGTCAAGAAATGAGTGAAAGTATATAAAACCACTTTCAAAAAGCCGGCAAGGTAATCACCATGATGAGCCAATTCAATTCATCTGCCATAAAGATCACGAACTACCCACAATGACCGCAAAATTTACAATCCGGTGCTCTGTGATGACCTTATACTACGCAAGAATCCACTGTGTATCATTCAATTCAGATTGGGTGAGTGATGGTGTTGATCTCTGTTCTTTTTGTAACCATCTTGTGATCGGAGAAATCAAAACAAAACAAATAACTCACCTGACATGTGTAACACGTGTTCAAGCGATCGAAGCCTATGGAAGTAAACACTCAAGGATTGGCACTGAAAAGCTGACCCGAAAATTCTTCGACAGGCATAATCGTTGATGACGGAATGCAATACTTCGAAGACAGCGGTGGTCAAATAACGGTTCATCTGTGAATAACTTTCACTCGCCTTAGCACTAACCCTCACGATTTAACCTGTCAATCTCGCGGTTAAGTTTCTGTGTGAGGTTCCGGTTTGGATTCAAAACTCGAACATTTGAACATATGTAAAAATTGCTTCTGACATAGCGGTTCACTTTTCTTTTGTTTGCTATATAAACGACAAAGATGCTGTCCGATGATAGGTTATTGGTTGTAAACCAAAAGTGGGGAATGAATCACAGATAATTTCTAGTGGCTTTGTGTGCAGTTTGACCAGAGAGACATAACAGGAAGATGGAGATCCACCCCGCATGTAACGGCAGCACTCGGAGGAGGTACATGGGAAGTTTTAACAGTAGAGGTGAGAGGAAGATTAAAGAATCATTTGAAGACAAATAAAGAACCAATCTTGGGGACAGTGAATAGGCATTATGCATTTATTGCGAACCCCTTCTACGGGTTAATACAACGCAGCAAATCAACGATTATGGTGCTCGCGAATCATCCAAACAGATTCAAACGGTTGTAGTGATCACAATTATTGAATACATAAGAATCAATTAAAATTCTGCAACTAACCTTAGTTGATTTTGCGCTTCTCGTGTTTTCCGGGCCTCATCATCCAGTGCCATTTGCATTTCACGAACTTTGGCTTCGGCTTGAGTTTTAGCCTCGTCTGCCTCTCGTTCCGCATTGTCGATCAGACGACGCATTTCCACTAGCTTGGCATTAGTGTCTTTTAATTCAGCTTCCAAGTGGCGCCGTGAAGCGTCCGCACGTCGTACCGAGTCTTGTTCGACTTGCATCTCTTGTACCAATCGTGTAACTTCTGCTTGTAACCTTTCGGCACGTTCATCCGCGACCTAGGACCAGGATAATAGTAATGGAGGTTGAATTGACAGGACAATACACAGGCATTTTACCTCTTCACAACTCACTGGATTTCTGAATTATTTTCTATGCAAGACTGTCTAGATGAACTTTGCGTTATACCCACTAGTGTATTCCTGTCGAACCCTGTGGAATTCACTCGTGAATGCTGTGATAGGCTCAAGTTGAACTATCTCCATTGGAGATAATATCGACAGTATATTCTTCTCATGAGCGCGTAATATGTCTTCATCTGAATACACAAAATACGCTTATTTCCATACGATAATAGGTTAAAACGACAACAATTGATTATAGTGGTCAGTGCCTCCTAAGTAGGGGTTTGGTATGGTTCACATTGT